GCGTCTGTGCAAACAGCCCTTCCCCAGATCCCCCACGCCCCAGCTTTCTGCCAGGGATAGACTGATGAGCAAGTCAGTTCTGGTACGTCTGTACGTGGTACTTCAATGGCCTTTGAAAATTATGGTTTGGGGGATTACTTAACATGGAACAATATTTACAGGTGGTAAATGAAAAGGCAAATTATAAAATATCTATCTTCTAAGGTTCTGTATTGTTTGAAATAAAAGATAGATCTTATGTATAAGCATAGAAAAAACAATGCCAGGAGGGGAGGGACAACAAACTGAACGACTACTACATCTGCTGTAGAACGAGGTGTGATTTCTTGTTTACTTACTTTTTTCTTTTTGCTACCCTATATTCTAGTTTTTCAGTATTCAGCTTGTGTTATTTCTATGCAATACTTAAAAAAATACTTTGCCTTGGAATGCAGCTTCCAGAAGAGGGTGTCACCCCCACCTCTCCCCTCTCCCCTAAAGAGCTCTCCTCAAGGCCTAGGGATACTTTTCTCTCTGACAAAGATTCTCCTCTTGTCCAAACTTTAGTCGGGTTCTTGACCCTTCTCTTAAGCCCATCTGTGCAAGCACTTGTAAAATCCAGTTTGAGGGAGAATCCCTACGCTCTGCATCTGATCACCCTGTTAGTCTGGTCAGGTCCCTCACCCTGTGTCACTCCCTAGGTGACATCTAAGCACTCCAGCCTATCTCCAAGCCTGACATTTCCTCTCAGCGAGGTTCCCTCCCCAGCGTCCCCCCTGCTCCCTGGCTGTCAGTTCACACTCACCCAGGCTGCATTCAGATCTGAGCCCCGTTCTGTGCTGGGGTCTCTAACCCCCTTACTGCAGCCGTCCTCAGGAAGAATTGCTTTTATGTCCTTACTGTCCAACTTGAGTTTTTCTTGATGGCTCCTTGTCTTCCTTGACTGTTCAGCAGCATTTAGCCCTGCTCATCATACCCTGGTCCCCTTCCTGAAATTCTCTTTTCCCTTTGTTCATTCTGTGATCCCCCCTCCTTCTATAGAATGTAATGTAAACTCTTCTGCGGGGCACAACAGACCCTCCAAGTACAGGGCCTGCTGGCCCCTGCCACCTGTTCTAGAGATCTCTCCCCAGGCCTACTTCTGTCAAGACACCCTGGCTTCGCGCCACTGCCTAGAACACCCTTTATCTTTTGTCCTCCTCCTCAATCATTCCCATTCCATGTGGAGCTGTTTTTATGTCAAGCATTATCTAAGTACTTTACAACTGTACCAACAAGAAATTCATTGCAGAAAACCCCATTTAGAGTGGCTTAGACATTTGTGAAAGGAGAAGTTCAGAGAAAGTGCATAGACATTCATATTCCTTCAGGTACCCAGGTTCCTCCCACATTCTTAATGTGTAGGCCCCAGACTTGTGTTTGTGCCTCATGCTCACAATACAGCTGCTGTGTCTCCAGCATTCTATCCTCCTTCCAGCTAGAAGACAAGGAAGGGACAAAGAATTTTCTCCCAGGAAAGTAAACCCTCCAGAAGGTCTTCTGTGTACATAGTCCCTTCTAACCACAAAGAAACATGAATGTTTTACCTTTCTAGACCCCCTAGTAGTAAAAAGCAGGAAAAAGAGGATTGTGAATGGCCTTTGGTTAGCTGAGCAGCAGTGTTTGCCATGCATTTCACCATCTCAGTTCAATCACAATTTATCTCATTTAATTCATAGCAGTGTTAAAAATTAAAAGTTTTTGTTATGCCCATTCCACCAATGAGAAAGCCAAGGCTCAAAGAGATAATACCCACTTTTTCATGACTGGGTTTGGCACCACCTCCTCCTGGAAGAATTCTTTGTATTAACCCCTGGCTGAGTTAAGTTTTGTGTCCTCCACTGTGCACCCATAATCCTCTGGGCCTGCATCCTTACTGAAATCTCCAACTGTCCCAGAATGGTCTGTGAGCCCCTGGAGTGGACTGGGAGCCCACACTGGACAAGCCTGTGTCTCCTGTGACTCCCCAGCCTGGTGGGGTAATAGGCCCAGAGCTGAATAACAAGTAAGGTAGTGGCCCTGCTCCATGTGAAGGCGCCCAGACTTCTGGAGCTCTAAAGCATCAGGTTAGGGACAGAAGCAAATCAGCAGTTGCCCAAAAGATCCACGGCACCAGAAACAAGGAGCCAGAGCTCAGAGGGCCTCCTGTGGGCTACAGGCGTCTCTAGCCGACTGCACTGCTCCTGAGGCCCAGCGACTTACCTGGGTGGAGACTGTGCCCTGCAGTGTTCCTCCCAGGCCATGGGGAAAGGAGGAATAGAAAAGTCTGCAATGTGGTTTTTGTTATTGCAGCTTCAGCTGCGGAAAGGGCTCCCCGAATAAAGCAGGAAGCGAAAAATATCAGATTTAGATCCCACATTCCATGCATTGTATACAATTATGTGCCGGAGCCACTTGGGACACGTGGGATCCATAGAGGCAGAAAATGGGATTGCTGTCTGGGATGGAGTCACTGCTTCATGGGAAACCAGCTGCATTCTTGACAGGTATGCTGAGTCCCCCAGCGGTGCACACTTGGCAGTCCTGGGGCCGGGGTGAGCTCTGTTTCATTTCCTTACAAGGCACTAGTGACATACATGCTACAGCCCTCTCAATGATTGGGAGTCTCTGTCTTTAGCGCTCCCCACCTGTGCTTACCCCTGGGATGTAAGTGCTTCCCTAGACCTTCCTGCGGGGGCTAACCCCATGTCAGATTCAATAGCCTCCTCTCTGCGAGTAGCTCCCACACCAGTCTCCAGCCCAGGTTCACCTCCTGAGGTCCAGGCCCATACACCCAATCACTTCAATGTCCCCAGGCCCTCAAACACCACTTGTCTAAAACAGAACTCATCTTCCCACCACAATGCGCTATTCATCCAAGTGGCACAGAACGGTGCCACTGCCCAGCCACTGCTAGGAGCAGACCATCCAGGTATCTTAACTCCCCTCACCCACACTAATTTGATTCCTGAGTCTTGATCACGTCTACCTGCTAGGACTGTCTCACCTGTCCCCTGTTCCCCACCTAAGCAGCCATCACCCTCGTTCATGCCACCATCATCTCCAGTTTAGATTGTTCTGCAGTTCTGCCCATCTTCCTGCTGTTAGCACCACATGCTCCAAACCCCGAACACAGTTTAGCTGGTCAGCCCACTTCTTAGTCCACAACCCTCTGATGGATCAGTGCAGAGCCCTAGGCTGGTGAACAAGGCTCTCTCTCCCTTGGCTCCTGCTTGCCACTTCCCTGTCCTCCCTGGTGTTCCGATCTTGACTCTAGGGCTTTGCACATGATACTCCCTCTATTCTGCCCATCACGTCCTCAGGTTTGACCTTGGACTTTGGCTCCCTTAGAAAGCCTTTTCTGACCCCCACTCACTCCCTAAGTATAAGGGCAGAAAAGCCTTTTCTGACCCCCACTCACTCCCTAAGTATAAGGGCAGAAAAGC